GGCGGCACAGGTGAGGGGGCAGCGTGGGGACGGCCGGGCCGGGAGGGGCGGCACAGCTGAGCGGGGACTGCGGAGCCAGGAGGGGCGGCACGGGTGAGGGGGGACCGCGGGCACAGCGGGAGAGCCGAGCCGGGGGCCGGGATGTCCACAGCGCCCTGCGCTGCCCGCGCCTTCCCCGGCGGAGCGGCGGGACGGGAGCGCTGTGTGCGGGGCGGGGGGCGCGGGACGGGCCCAGCGGGGTCAGACCCGGCTGTCCGGCTGCCACATGCGCTCGGGGGCTGGGACAGCACGCTGAGGTGTGGGATCTCAAAGGTCTCCTCCCTCTTGCTGCGAAGAGACCTCTGAAGTGTAAATACGTGCTCCTCATCGCTGTTTCGTTTAAAACTCCTCTCCCTTTGCGTGGCGTGGTCGCTCAGGAGTAAACGCAGTTTCAGCTTTTGGAGTGTATTGGGGGACGGTCCCAGTGCGGCTGCAGTATCGTGCACAGGTGGCGTAGCTCGCTATCACTATCACGGACCTCCTCTCCCAGAACCAAGATGTTGGTGAGGCACTGGGGAGCAGCTGGACTGGTCGTAGATGATCGGTGATTAATCAGTGCTGCTGTAGGGCAGCAGCTTACAAAAACTACCTATACTTAGAGTCTTCCAGTTTCTGCAGAGTGAACTGTCTTCAGAATGGGAAGCACCTGAGAATGTGCTAAATTAGGGTGTAATTTCAAAAGGAAAAGTGGCAGAAGGACGCTCAGAAATTTTTTAGTCTCTTATGAGTTCGGTAAATTTTAAATTACTAATTGCATGCTGTAGCAGATAACTTTCAGCTGTGTACTTTTAGCTGATACCAGGCCCTTTCTTTGTTGTCCTTGGGGGTCTTTTTATTTTTTTTTTACTGCTTCCTTTACTGTTGTATTTTGTTTGCTGCCATCCTGCACTCACTGGAACTGGCATTAGAAGATCCCTTCATCTGAAGGGATCGCTACTGTCTTTCAGTAGCAAGTTGTTTTGTTTTGTTCTGAGCAGATCTTAATCACACAATGTTAAAAGCAGCGGTTGTACCTAGTTAGTGCCAACCAAAACAGAAGGGCTTCTTGAACTGGTAACTCACTGTAAGTTAGCAACAGTAAATGGTGTGTGTTGGCCAGACTGGTGTTGACAATTCTGGTTTGAATGAAGAAGCTTGGAGTAGGTAATTCTGTATAGAAAAATGCAGTCTTGGTCCTATAGGTTATTGCTACATATGATGCAAGAACTTGATTAAAAACATATTTGGCAGTATATAAGTAAACACATCTGAAAGCTGTAGAAGTATTTGCAATGTTTATTAACAGCAGCAAGTAAATAAGTACATAAGGATCGTGGGAGTTCTGATATTTCTGAAAGTCAGGGCCGTAGCAGTTGCTGGTGTTTAGCATTCAGTGTAAGGTTACCTTCATATCTCTGATGCTTGTGTAGAAATGGTCAGTGAAGAGCACAGTCCCGTAGTAATGATAGTAATGTTTGCTTCACATCATTCCTGTCCACAGCAGTTGTTATGGTGTGGCAGTGTTGGATTTCTGGAGAATTTGCATTAGCCTTCTACTCCGTGAGGGGAAAGTATGACATCAGTGTCATGCCAGTGACCATCTGTCTGCAGCACAAATACATTTCATAACTGGCACTCTTTGGCACTCCTTGCTGTTTTCCTCTTGCACTCTTGAAGCAAAAATGTAGAAAGTAAAATTATGGGCAGAGCAGTGAAGGTGCTGGTTCCACACCTACCTTCCACACCACCAGAGTGCTGTGTTGTGGCTGACTCTTCTCGTCTGCACTTCTGTTGTTATTTCTAATAACAATTCAGGTGATCGTAGTGGAAAAGAAACAATGCATCTGTAATGTTATAATGTGCTATTATATGAGTGTGAAAATCAGCAAGGAAAATTACGTGTTTCTACTGGGACTAATAAGCTTGCTATTTACAGTTACTTCACTTAGTTTGTAGCTGTGGTGACCTGTATTTTGCATTAGCTGTAAAATGGGGATAATGTTGTGCTGTCCTAGGATTGAATGAAAACTTGCACTGAACTTGCAAGTGGTTTTAAAATGCCTTAAAGAAAAAAACCCAGCTGGACTATCATTTTCCCTTATATGCACAAATACTTAGTAATGCAACCTTAAGTGTGAGCTTTTGTAAAGAAAAGAAAATCTGTCACCGTCATCATATCACTCTCTTAATTTCTAGTTCACCACTATTGCAGGTTTCTTACTTGATAATTAGATACGTTGTTTTTCAATTTGGCTTTGAAGGGAGATGTTGCAAAACAGCTGATCCAGATGCCTGGCTTTAACTTTATTTTGTTATAGTCAGAAGATTTTGTGACAATTACAGTGAATTTTTTTTGCAGTTGAAGCTCAAGAAAAAAGAAAACAATTCTTTGAGCCCTTAAAAAAAGTCCCTAAATTATAGAAGTCAAGAATTTTAAGCCTCAGTTCCTAGATCTTAAATAACTATGTGCAGTGTAAATCACGTAATTGTTGGTACTTTGATGACTCTATCAAAGCTTCCACCTTAGTCTGATTCACGGATCTGTTGGATATTTTTATGTGAAGCTAAGAGTTCTTCACAGAGGAGAGTGCCAGCATTTTCGAGAGAATCAATTGTAGGTTGGGTGGTTTTGAGTAGGCTTGAAGAAAACCACAAATGTGCTTACTCTGAGCAAGAACACATCACAAAGTTAAGGTTCCAGAAAAGCGCTTCCATTTTCCTTTGATGTTTCATCAACACCTCTGTTACTGAAGCATTGCATGACAGTTTCCTTATATTTGTGAGACTTCCTCTGTTAATATTTTAAAAGTTAACTTTTACAATTGTAGGGTTTTTTTTTTCTTTTGTAGTTGAGGCAGGAGAGACAGGCACATCTTGAAAGCAGTACCTTTCTGGTGACAAGTGTTTCTGTTCCTAGAAAGTATGTTTTTTTTTTTTTTAGAGCAAGGTGCATATGACTTATCTCAATACTGTTTTATGAAATTAATTTGATTTCATATTTTCATGGCTCTTTATCTTCTTGTGGTGTGTTCTGTGCCAACCCCAAAGCCCAAATCACTATTTTTAGTGGCCTGTGTTTGAAAAACTGGAAGTGTTTGGTATGCTGTGTTGTTCTTTCTGTCTGTAAAAGTCTGCTTGGTAATTCATTATTCAGAGCATTCTAGCGGGAGTGTTGGAGGTTTTTTTAGTTATTTTAATTATTTATTGGCTTAATGATTACTGTTTCCAAGTGTGCATTGAAACTTCTGTATGAGAGTTACAGGTTTGCATATATTGTCTCTTGTAATCCAGACTGACCATATTCTATTTCTATTTACCATGTGCAAGAGCTTCAGGCTACTCATTCTGTGTCTTTATTGAAGATATATAGTCTTAAAAGACTGTTATATTAACAAAATAATTTTCTGGTTTTGTTACAGTGGATATCAGACAGCAACTATAATAAAGCAAAAGGTCTAAAGCTTTTATGAAACTTATTAAATGTGATTACACACATGCATTAATGTTACTAAAGTTTTTAATACTTCATCAAGTAAGGCAGTAGATCCAGGGAAATTACAATTCTTTCAATATTAAAAAAGCCAAACAGCTTGTAAGAAACAAAGATTAACTGTAGCTTTGTTTTATTCCAAGAAAAGTAATACAAAGGCATCTTCATGGAGGTGGAAAGGTTGTGAGGGTGAACTTGCAAAATTCAAAATCTGAAAGAATAAAATCATAACTAGAGCAGTCACTTTTTTTCTCTGTGTCTTCTGTAGCCATATCATACCTTCATAGGTACTCTGCTGCCAATTTGCATGAAGAAATGTTTTTAAGTCTTTCTTGGCTTTCTGCACTTCTGCCTAGACTTTGACAAAACTGCACCTTTAAATGGTGATGTGTGCTCTGGTTCAGGAATGCAATCATGAATTCAACTCCTAATCATTTTCTGCTCATGCAAATCTGTTTACCTTAAATTTAGCCAAGCACAGAATTCTGTTTTATTTAGACTGAAAATGGGTCAGTTTGATGTTTCTTGAGCGGTATAATGAGAATTATTTAGAGTTTGACGTATATTTCTGCCATTAAACTAGATTTTGTTCATTCTGTCCTTACAATAGACCTATTGTGAGATGAGTAGGTAGGACAAGTCTGGCTGTTTAGCTTTTGTCTGCCAACTCAGTGTGAGTGAACTAAATATAAATACTTCGACCATCCTAGTGTTGTGTAAGTGCTTATTGATTTAACACAAGACCTAAAGCTTTGTGCCTTTGTTGTTGTTTGTTAACGTTATTTGCACTAAATAGCTGGTTTTTATGTTTTCCAGTTTGTGAAAATTATATTGTTCCTTTTGAAAGAGGAACGATTTGGTGGTGATGGAGTGCTGCCACTGACAGATGGACTCACAGGAAAGAAGGTGAGAACGAGCAGCTCCGTGCAACCACAGAGGCTTCCTGAAAAATGCCAGCTCGGGGTCATCCCGGAAAATACTCTTTGTCATTTACACTAAAGGGAAGAAGATTAATTTAGCTACAGTTTCAGTTGTGTCTGGAACACTAAACTTATTGCAACAGCAACTTAGTTGATTGTTGGAACTTGTGAAGCCATAGGCTAAAACCTTGAAAGTAGCGTTTTCAGGTGAACAGTAACTCATATCTGTTACCTGCACCTGTGAATTTTGAGCCTGGGTCAGTAGCCCTGCAGTAGGCTGTTCTTTGGTTCCTTGTTTGTTCCACTGAGATACCTGGCAGAGGTCAGATGTTTTTGTAATAGATCCTTTTATGTCAATGTCCAAATCTGTCCTACGCTGTTTTCTGAAGACTTATTAAAAGGATAAAAGCCCAAACAGCAGGACTGCCTTTAATGCACAGTATATTGATGAAAACTCTCTATGTTATTGTGTTATGTTCCTTGGTGTGCTTTGCCCATCTGAGTAAAATCTGTATTTTTATTTTAGGTTAAATGTCCTAATATTGATATTGGATTTTTTAGCACTTTTTTCCCTTTTTTTTCCTATGTATTACTTGATTGGTTCCTCTTTAATTTACTTCTACTCTAAAAACAAGTCCTTTGTATTTAAAATGCAAGATGGACTCTGCATTTTAATTCTGTGTTTGTTTTTTGGATTAAATAATTGACCTGAATTTTACAAGAGTTCTTGACTGTCACTTTTTTTGATTTTTTTTCTTCTTTTTTTTTCTTTCTGTTTTGTGGAAAAAAGTAGAGATGTTGGGGATGGGCTCAGGAGCTGAGAGAGATAATTTAATCTCTTAGTTATTTTCATCTTGAATGTTTCAGATGCACATTGTGTAAAGATATTGTTCATCCTGTGCACCAAAGCTAGCAAAATTTGTGGTTTAAAAAAATGTAAGTCTGCATGAATAGAGCTGCTTGTCTAAGTTGTCCCCAGGGCAACCTATCAGACCAACTTTTTCTAGGTTTGATTCAGGTTGGGAATATATTTTATTTCTTTTGCCTTTTTTTCTAGACAGAGGTTGCCATTCCATCAAAGCTTTTCTTGCCTGTCTTATATATATATAAACTTCACAAGCTCATGCCAAGCTGCAAGAACTTATTTATGCAGGGAGTAAATGACTTGACTTTTGACAAATAAGGAGCTAAACCTACTTTTCCCTACAGGGTATATAACAATCTATTCTTTATGAAGTTTTAAATAAATTTAAAGATGACTCTTAAATTAACTTGAAATGCTGTGAGTCTCTATCGATGCTTAAAATGACTTTTTGTGTTTGAATCAAGACATTCCACAAATTGTTAAAACTGTGGGTTTGTTGTCAATGTTTTGAGGAATTTCTTTGTGCTGAGTTGGAGAAGTTGCTGACTGAGCATTCAAACCAGAGTGTGTTGAAGTGTTAAACCAGCTTTGGGCAGTTCCACTCTCTCCTGCAAGCCCAGATACTTGCATTGTGTTTCAGGATTTTTTTTTGTGCTTCAACTGATTTGAATGACTGGCTCATTTGAATCTGAGAAACTCATTAAGAATTAAAAAAGGAAAAAACCCCAAACAATCAAAACCTCATTTTTGTCTCTAAGGGTAGAAATGAAAGTATATAAAGGATGAGCTTTTACAGGTGTAATGTTTTGAATGGGAGCAATTGGTACATGGTAAAGTATAAATGAAAAAGAAAGCTAATGGTTTCAAACAGAAGATACATATTTTTTACATTTAAATAACATTTAATTTACAATTTGATAATTATTAATATTAATTAAAATATATTGTCTTCCTGAAAGTGAAACAAATTCCTGAACTACTAAGCCTTTCCTACATATGTGAAAAGCAAACTATGCATTACTAAACTACAGAAAACTTCATGTTTACTGTGTTCCAATTTCCTCCAATCTTTGTAGCTCAGAAGAGGCAGAAGGAGCCAAAGAGAGAGGCCTGGTCTATGTTTGGAAGGCTGGTTCCTGCTCTGTAACTCCAGAAAGGCTTCTAGGACTCAGTGGCAAGACTGTATTACAGGCAGCCCTTGGAATACATCATGGATTACTTCTAACAGAAGGTAATACACATCTTAATTGTAAATGTCTGATGCAATAACAAACTTCAATTATTGTCAAATTTTCTTTCACACGTTCTTTTCATTTTGTCTGTGTCTCATACACAACTTTTAAATTGCTGGATTTTTAACTTTGCCTTTATTTCATTCTTAGTTATAAATTATTTCTATTTCAACACAGTTTTATATGCATAGATTCTTCTTTCATATTTTTTTTTTCTTAACAATGGCTCTGGATTTTACCCTCTAAAGATATTAATTAACGTAATCTGAACCACGTTAACTCAAAATGACAATTCTTTTGAAGTCTTTCATTCAAAAAAGTACAACAAGAGGTTTCTCTTGAGGCGTAATAGCTTTGTCTTCTCTGCTTCTGGAAAAGTCTGTGGTTAGTACATGCATTAGAGAGTCTTGGTTTGTGAGCAGTTTGAGTCTGTGAATCGAGGTATTTCTAAAAGCCAGTTCCTTAAGTGTTTGTGTACCTTGGTCCATCCTTGTACTATTCAGTGGACATACAGTAAAGACGCAGCTGGAAGTTACTTCTTTGAGTTTTCTTTGACCTTCTTGAAGGAAAGTTTCCAGGTTATTGGTGAGCTTGCTATAAATACCTCTCCTCTACCAGAGTTGTTATGGACATCCAATTTTTTTTTAAAGAATGTGTTTCTTTCATAATTTAAAAGGACTTTTTGCATGTGTGTTCTTACCCCATGAGGGATGTTGTTTGTGGATGTGATTTACCATTTTTCTATCACTGTGAAAACAACTGTTAATTTTAAAAATTAACACACCTTCTCTCCCTGATAGGGCAATCCTGTTTTAGTGCAGGGTGCAAGCAGTACAGTTTGGTGATAGCAGGTCTCAGTTTGGAAAGATGAACTCTGTACTGTGTTGTGTTCTTCATGTGCATTTGTATGTCCTTAATACGTTGCATGTTCTTAGAATAGAAAGGACCAATAAATGCACTTAACTTGACTACAGTAGAATTTTTAGCAGGAAAGCATTACTTATTTCAGCAGTGCATGCATGCACAGGGTGACATTAACATGAGGTGTAGAACTTAACACCAGCAACAGAGGGCAACCAGCAGTCTTCAAATATCAATAGCCATAGTTCTGCTGAGCCTACAGTAAGCTGGGAATTGATATCTGTTTATCTGAAGTGTCTTCAAATTTTTGTGTTGATTTAAAAATTACTTTTACGCTCATGCTGGGATTCTTTTTTTCCCCCCTTCCAGGTGGAGAGGTCTACAGTTTTGGAAAGCTGCCCTGGAGATCAGGACTGGAGGAGTCACGTGTTAATAGTCCTATCTTAGAAAATACTTTGCTTGGACATCGTGTTATTACGGTGGCAGCTGGCAGCTTCCATAACGGAGCCGTGACAGAAAGTGGTGTGGTGTACATGTGGGGCAACAATTCTGCTGGCCAGTGTGCAGTTGCTAATCAGCCGTGTGTGCCAGAGCCACAGCTCGTCAGTATTTGTGATTCTGAAACAAGTCCTCTGATATCAGTAAGGATTTTGCAGCTGGCATGTGGAGAGGAGCACACACTGGCACTATCTCTAAGCAGAGAGATATGGGCTTGGGGGAGTGGCTGCCAGCTCGGGCTCATAACAACAACTTTCCCAGTGACAAAGCCACAGAAGGTAGAGCACCTGGCAGGACGCGTTGTGCTCCAGATTGCTTGTGGAGCCCACCACAGCCTGGCTCTAGTACAATGTCTCCCTGTGCAGGAAATGAAGCCTATCCCAGAAAGATGCAATCATTGCAGTCAGCCTCTTATTACCATGACGGACAAGGAAGACCATGTAATCATTTCAGATAGTCACTGCTGCCCACTGGGTGTAGCACTGTCTGATAACCCACCAGAAAACCATGTCTTGTGTCCCTCATCGGAGACCCTCGAAGGAAAAAGTGTAACAGGTGGCCCAAGTGACGACAGTCAGAAACCACCTGTGGAAGAACAGAGGCTTGTTGGTTTAGAATCTGATGGGCCAAGTGTGCTTTCCAGCAGCAATGGACAGGAAGGTAGTGGAATTTCTAGTCCTGGAAATATTCTGTTCCCAGACAAAAAAGAGGTGAAAGAGTACTTAATTGGTTTGTCAGATCACTCATTAAATGAGAGCCTGGATAAAAACATCTGTACAGAACCTGAACAGGTTGGTACCTAATAACTAGCTCATAATTTGCTATAACTCCTCTTGCAGATGTGACAATGTTACTTTTTCCACAAATGAAAAAATGTAATGAAGCTATGGTGGTTTTGTGGTTTCCAAGTGTTTTTCACTGTGATGGTTCTCAACTTTTAAGTGGAAGATTTTTTTTTTTTTTTTTGTCATCCATCCATGTTCAGTTGTGTGGGAGCAGCCTTGACAGTGCTGTAGTCTCTCCTGTTCATTGTCTGCAGTACCAGAACCAAGTAAGCCAATTTCCATGCTCTGTTTGTTCCATGATGCATGGGCTTCCATTTATGTTGGGCAGTAAGATGACACTTGTCTGATTTACCTTTAAGGTCAAGCTTTATTTTCTGTGCATGGAACTAATCCCTAACAAATCTGTCTAATTTCTCAATCAGGTAAAAATTCTAGATTGCAAGTAAAGGTTGCTGAACATGTTGACCCAAAGGTTTTTAACGTTAATGATGTAAGGGTGGCATAAACTTATAATCAGGGATGGGAAACGTGAGTTTTTGTGGTGTGGAAAATGGTTCAACAACACTGTTTTGATGCTATAGCAGAACAGTCAAGTACCCCTATCTTGGTAAGCATCAGAAAATGCTCAACATGAAGGCTCAAGAGCTGTTTGCAGCTTACTGACAAAATACTATGTTTTCTGGGTTTATTTTGGGGAAAAAAAAAAAGACATAAAGACGTAATTAGGGGTGAAGGGAAGAAGGTAAAACCCTAAATCCACTAGACAGAAAACTAATCCAAAATCTTTCTGTGCACTCTGGCAGTCCCTACCTAACTACTGTCCTGTGAGGAAACCTGCCACTCTGTGGCCTAATATGCAGAATTTACAGTGAAATTGTGAGAATTTCTTTTGTCATTTCAAGTGTTGTGTAGACATCTATTTCTTCTTTTTTTTTAATAGTTACAGTAAGAAATTTTTCACAGTGGTTCTGAGAGATAAAATTCACAGTACCTAGTAAATAATTGATTTCTGTTATCACCTCTGATTGCAAGAAAAAAAAGTAGTTTTAAAACCTGTCCAGTAACTTGGTGATTCAGCAAGTTTTGTTTTATTACTCTGAGGAAAGTTTATTTCAGAGAAATGAAGATTGTGTGAACACAGTTATTCTTTCTTTTGCTTTTTGCTAATACAAATACATTCTAGCAGTTTTGGGCTCCTCAGAATCTTGCAAGAACTCCCACCATTAGATGATGATTGAAACATGTGGTTTCATGCTCTCTTTCTCAACTCCTCATTCCTGGAATATTTCCAGAGTACTGTTTTCCTTGCACAGTTCCAGGAATCAACAAACCTGGAACTGGTTCACTGAATCTTACACAACTGAGCATACATATGAAGAGCAGAGATGAGGTCTAATGTAATGTTTCAGCATTAGTAAAATCCTTCATATTTCCCTTTACTTTCCTACACAAATCAGTTTTCTTTCCTATATTGCTAGGTAAGCCTTTCATAAATAGGAATGAAGTGAGGAGGAGCAATCCCAGTCCTTTAGCTTAGGCTTTCACAAAAATAAAGAAATCAGAAGATTGTTTTTATTTTGGTAGAATAAAATGAGCTATAATATTTGTAATAATACTATTTTCTACTATGTATTAGGTGGGAAAATGGGAGTTTGCTGTCTTTGCTTTAATATTCAAGTCATTTGACAAATGTCATCTTGTGCATTATTTTTTATTTGGTGGGTCAGCTGGCTGCTATTGTAGGTAATGGTGTGCTGATCCTAAGAACTGCCTTCAGTCAGTTTGTCCCTAGTGTGACTTGATGATTAACTAAGCTTTATGTGGATACAACAGTGACATAAGGGGACACAGCCCAGACTGGTTTTAAGAGAGACTTTGTGAAATGGATCCATGAGTCACTATTTTCCTTTTAACATACCAAAGAGAAAACTTGTCTCTCTGTAAATACAGCGTGCTCACTGATGCACTTTAATTGGTGGCAAAGAGGTTGGTAGTAAGCCTAAAATTATGTCCCTTTTTATATTTGTTGGCAAAGATCCTTTATTCTTTTTGGTATTAAAAACCCTCAGACCTACAGTCTCTTATGGACGAGCTACCAGACAAGTGCAAGAGACAAAGCCCAGTCCATGTAGAAATGGTGCTTGGTCCTGAAAAAAAAAGATTCAGAGCAATAGATGCACACCTATTTACATTCTATACAGTTAAAACCCATATATCATTTACAATAAACCTTTATAGTAAACATAATGTCTTGTTCAGTATAGCCCCCTGTTTGAATAGTGAATGTGTAATCATCATCCTTCTGCCAAGTGCTGTCTGGTGTGATAGTTTTCAATTTTCCTTTGGTTTTAGCCTTCTCAAGAAGACCAACTCAGTGCTTGTATCCCTGGCCCTCCAGGTCCCAGCACATCCACCTTGAACAGCCTGGTGGCCTCTTGTGCCTCAGCAGTGGGTGTGAGAGTAGCTGCCACCTACGAGGCTGGAGCGCTGTCTCTGAAGAAAGTCATGAACTTCTATGGCACATCCTCAAGTGAACCAGGATCTCAGTCGGGCAGCAGGTCCCCAGGGCCTGAGGCTCTGAAAGACAGTCGAGAAGAGCAGGTCAGACTGGAATCCATGCAGGGGAAGAAGAGTTCCAGTTTAGTAGATATTAGAGAAGAGGAATCTGAAGGAGGGAGTCGCAGGCTTTCCCTGCCTGGTTTGTTGTCACAAGGTAAAAAAGGCACACTGGGGAAATAACACTGGAAATATTATATTAATGTGGAGGTTTATAAGTGGGGAAAAAACCCCAAACACTTACTGAACACAAATTTAATGATCTGTCAAAGGTCTTTATGAATTCTAAGCTCTATCTTAGGGCTTGAAAGCAGAGGAGGGAGTAAAGACTAGCAGATACTGCATGCTGAGAAAACCAAAAGCATAGTGGGTTTACAAATGCTCTTTAGTGGTAAGGTGGGGTAAAATGCACATTGGGGTAGTTTGGGCATCGTGCTGCCAGGTGATGCTAAAGTATCTTTCATGTCAGTTGGGTAGGAGATAACCTGTGTGGCCTGTAATCCCTACTGCACTGAGCTGGGTTTGAGCCAGGGACCTGTAAATATTGCAGTTCCACTGCCGAACTTCGAAGTTAACGACCTTCTTCTCTCGCAGGTTTTGGTGTTGTTAATTGCTCTGAATGTGTAGATGGTTTAGTTCTATATTGGTTTTGGATCTGAGGGGAGTTTTTGGGAAGTATTGAAATCTTTTGTTTGCTGCAAGGATATATTTTCTTTCAAAACACTTTTTTTAACGTACAGTTTGTTTTGGTTCATTTGATTCATTATAGCTGCATAGTTCTCATATGCCTATTATCCTTTAGCACCTGCTAAAAACTTTGGGATCTGCCTATTTTAGCACCTATGTTACTTCAGTGTATCTGTACCCTGTTGTCTTACATGTCAGTCTTTTTTCTCAACATAAATTAAGACTGCTTTAAGAAGTTTTGACCAGTTATCTCAAGTAACTGTGTAACACACAGTCTGAGCGATCTATTTACCAAAAATGCAGAACAATTTCTCTAATTATTGGCTTCTGTTCAGTTTCTCCAAGGCTCTTACGGAAGGTGGGACGGGCAAAAATGAGGACTGTGGCTCTGACTCCAACCTACAGCGGTGAGGCTGATGCTCTTTTGCCCTCTCTGAGGACAGAGGTGTGGAGCTGGGGAAAGGGGAAGGAAGGACAGCTCGGGCATGGTGATGTTCTGCCAAGGTGAGATTTCTTTGATAAATGAGGGTTTTTTATTCACTAGGTCACTAGAAAATTTTGAGTATTGAACTGTTTTAAATTCTCAAATTTAAACATTTGCTTTGCATTGTGTGCTTGCTCTTTGAAGTGTTGTGACCTAAGTTTCTTCAAGTAACATTTTTTAGGCTGCCTTGTTAGTGAGCATCGATCAGTTATGACTTTTCCCCATGTAATCACTAGGAGTTTTGGTGATATTTTGACTTTGTCCACATTGAGATGAGGTTTATCAACTTTTGCCCTTCCTGACCATTTTGACTAAACTGGTTTTTTACCAAAAGACTCCATGTGTGTTTGTTTTTTCTAAATTGCTTTGGGACAAAAATAAAACTTGGAACGTGTTCTCTGTATTAAGAGTACCTCTGATAATTTTCTTTTTTTCTCCTTCTGCTCCCCCTCCCCTGCCTTACGGGTTCTGGGGATTGACAGGCTTCAGCCACTGTGTGTGAAAAGCCTGGATGGGAAAGAAGTGATTCACCTCTCTGCTGGTGGCCATCATTCCTTAGCACTCACTGCCAAATCCCAGGTACCAGTTATTGTTACCATTTATTGTTTTTCTATGGCATCATTGTCATGTTTGGTCTTTTCTAGGTTTTTGTTTCTTTTGCTTCTAAACTTCTGTTCCTGTTTATGGGAGGCAGCATCGAAGTAATGTGGAGTCTTAATTCTGTTTCTGCTCAAGTGCTGCCTGTACTATCAACGTTATGTTTAAAGATTGGTGTGACCTGATCTGGTACATTCCATTTCTGATGTGAGAAGACAATTTGTGAATATAGGAAGACAGTGGAAATTAGGGAATTGCTTCTTGGTACATGAGTCTTCTATCCTTGACTTGTGTGTGTTTGCACACTTGATGTGTTGTACTACCACACTCAGTATGTGTCCATGTATATAAATTTACATTCTAATGTTTAGCAATGCTTCTTACAGGTGTATTCATGGGGCAGTAATGTCTCTGGCCAGCTTGGTCACTTGAACTCCCCAACAACAGTCCCTCGTCTTGCAAAGGTACTTTTGTTTCTATGTTCTTTTTTCAGTTTAGGGTCACTTCTTATACCAGTGAGTGCAAAGTAATTTCTAAGAACGATCTGTTTATGGATCTGTGGGCTATATAGTAATAGAGCCCTTGACTTCTTTGGCTTATACTTGTGAAAATCTACCCAAGAAATCCTTTGCACAGACTTCCACTGGTTTTTGACCACAGTGAAGTTCTAAAACTGAGAAATGGGACTGGTTGTATCTTCTTATCAAATTTCACTTTTGCCTTATATTTGGTGCAGTGCTGTAACTTTTAAATACTTTGGAACTGTTTATATAGATTTCACAGTTAAATATAGAGGGGAGAATAGTATCCCAACCTAGTTCAAGCTCACTCATTTAAAAATAAAACTGATTTATAATTGAAAGGCAAAAAAATCAGCCATTAGAAAGGAAACTGAAAAGAAAGATAATTTTCAGAATGCGTGCAAGGAGTTTATTTGTTAAGAGACACTGAAGTTGAAAAATGACCAGTTATTGCAATACTTTTCTTGGCAGGTGTATTATATACATGTGTGGCCAGAAGAGTTAAGTACTATTCTCTCTTTCCAGCCTCAGGTGATGATTCCTAATGTCTTCCTTCCTCCTGAATTTCAGGTGTGCGGTGACGGTGTTTGGAGCACAGCAGCAGGACTAGATTATTCCCTCTTCTTAGCAGATGAGAAAGACTTCCAACCTGGATTATATTACAGTGGCCAGGAGACAATAGAAAATAATTTGAATGAAAATAGCTGTACTAAGAGTCCAGTTTTATTACTAGCCTGTAGTAAGGTGAGTGTTATTTCCTTGAAGTTAGTACAAATCCTACTGATGCTCTTTGGAAGTAGCACAATGCTGGTGGTTCAATTAGCTTTAAGGCTGTCAAGTCACATACCTGGTTCCTAGCAATCAAATCAGGAGCATAGTGTATGCAGGGCAGAGAGGAGGCCTAATTCCCTCCCTGTTTCTTGGTATTCCCTTCTGTTTGAGGGACAAGGAGGTGTTTCCAGTGTGTTTAATCCATTTCCTTCTGTGTCCATGTATGTGCACACAGACACACACACACTTCTATTCCTTCTGTAAGATTGTTGTTAGCCATTCTCTTCTCTTTTAGGGTGACTAGTAAGCTCTGGCATATCAGAATTGACCTGTGAGTTGCTTGTTGAACAACTTTGTCTCAGTGTTTCTAAGGAATCTTCTATATGGCAACCAAGGAAATAGAAGTAGTGCTCGAACTTGAATTACTCTGTGGTATTGCATGTGAACCAAAATTAGTGAGGAGCCACAGTCAGCATTAGTGCTGACCTCATAGAAGAATTTTGCATTGAACTACTGTGGAAAGCAAATACTGCAATATTACTAGCAGTAGGTATCAATAAACTGGACTCTTATCAATAAATTGACATATTCCAGGTCCAGAAAGGACTACAGTTCAGAGCACAGTTGTAATACTAATAAAGCCTTCTTATTCTCTCTTTGTATTTAATGGGAGAAACAGTTGATACAATGATGCTATTTAATGTCAACATTGTGGATATAAGCATACTGCGGTTCTGAAAGTGACTGAACTTAAGGTCACTACCTCTTAAACATGGAAAGGTTGCATGAGTCACCTTAAAAGGTCATCTATTTATTGTCTTTTAGGCTCTGTCAGAGTCAGGAAAATGAACAGCAATGACTATAAATGTTTCTTCAACTTTTGTCATTCTTGTATTAAGCCAGTTTTGAATGGGTTGTTTGTCACTGAAGGTAATTAATACTTGCTATCACTTAGTGCTCCTAAAAATATGCCTTATTTTGCTTTATTTTAATGTTACTCTATTTTTAAATTGGAGTGTGAAAAGAAAAACATTAAAGTGGCTGTTTTTTCTTTTCTCCTTTTCATCTTTCAGATAGGGTACATAAGCAATGTGATAGCTGGTGGTGACAACTGTTTGGTCTTAGTAGACAAGAATGTAATGGGATATATTGCCAGTTTGCACGAGTTGGCTTCTACTGAGAGAAGGTTTTATTTCAAACTGAGTGAGGTCAAATCTCAGGTTCTTAGACCTCTTTTAGGTTTAGGTAAGACCTTCTTTTTTTTAATATTTTCTTTGATATTGTTTCCCCTATGTTCCACAATAAATTTATTTTATGCAAAATTTAAAAGTAATGACATATGTTTATATATTTTTATTTTAATAAAAATTATATATTTATAAATTATATATTTTTAATATAAAGCTGAGGTCTTGCTCTTCTCCCCTGTTTGGATGAACAGGTGAAATACAGCTGCATTTTGACATGAGCATTCTGTCGTTAGTTTTTGCCCTTTCCTGACGTTTTCACCTGAAATAACTTAATTATTTGATCTATATTTAGTCTAAAATCATTGCATTTCTGATTCTGGATAATGTAGCCATGAGGTGAAAGTGCTGATAAAGCATTAAACAGCACCACGTGGTAACTCTCTCTGTTAATGGGTGCTGCTCTTTCGTAAGGTAAGCTAAATTGCTTTCTGGTCTGTTACAGATAACTTGGGCAATGCAAATACAATCCAGTTGTTGCAGGAAATGGCAAGCAGGTTCAGCAAGCTGTGCTATCTCATTGGTCAACATGGAGCTTCTTTAAGTAGCTTTCTTCATGGCGTGAAAGAAGCCAGGAGCTTGGCCATCCTGAAGCATTCCAGTCTCTTTTTGGATAGTTACACTGAGCAAGTATCCAATTCCCTCTCATCTTGAGTCTCTGCAGTCTTAATCTACTGACCGCAACAAGCCCTGAGTTAAGGGAAAGTAGGTCATAAGGAAAGCTACATAAGTAACTGTTGTGCAGATTGTATTGTTGCAATTTAAAACGTGTAGAGAGTTCCACAAACGAATTGGTTTGGTAGTGAGATGTGCTTTTCAAAGTCTTCACCAGTGGAGCACACGGGACAGCATCAGTTTCCCTCGTGTACAGCTCTGCATACAAACTCTGGTTGCTGCCTGTAAGCCTAAATGTTGATTACTTCCTAAGGATATTGTAATATAATGTGATAGAGCTGCCGTGGCTAGGCTGCTAAATAAAGCTACCTTTGGGGGTTTACTGTGGTTACTAAATGCTTTTTCAATAGTCATTAACTAAAAATTGTCTTCCAGAAGAACAATTCTTCTGTCCTCATACTTACTAAATAGCATTGCACCTTTCACCCAAAAGCTGGAGCTGCTTTAGTGCTCAGAACTAAGTCTGAATTACCCTGGTTATTGTTTTTATTGTCTTAAAGCTTTTGGGAGAGGAGGTCTATGCAGTCACACTGTTTCCTGTCTTTCCCCTCAGTAACCTCTGTAGTTCCTGGATAATTTCATCTAAATGTATCAGGAGTTTTATCATACATAATAACTACAGACTTTTGTGAGAAATATTGCTTGACAGTTTAAATATGTCCTATCTGATTGTAGTCTTGGTTACCAGACATTCTGAAAATATCTAAGGAAACAAAATTTCAAGATCATCAACTTCAGTTGTTACACAGTAGCATTTTGAATAGGCAACTAGTTGCACTTTTTTTGAAAACAAGCACAACAGATAACACTTTACTGGGTTTGTGATGAATTTATGCTGTATGACCCTAAAAGAAAATTTCTTCTCTGTTTGTTACAGGGGTTGTTCATAACTGTAAATGTATTTTCTCCTTTTTTTACTTTGTGTTCGATTTGAATTTTTCTTGTAACCTGGATTTCCAAAATTGGCTTCCATTACTCAGAATAGTAGGGTTTAATTTCTTCTTCCTCGGTGTCAAAGACTGAAATACCTAATTTCTGTTCTCATATTACTGCTTGTACTCTGCTCTCCCCCTTTGCTTCCTGTTGCTTGCACGTTTTTCTGTGCATGCCATCAGAACCTCACCATAGTGCCATGAACATCTTTCACGGATCAGTTGGGCAACATAAGCATTATCTGTTAAATGGGCTAAGCAGACACCTCTTTCCTTGGAGAAAGGTGTTTTTTAAAAATAGTGCAGGGGAGAAGTCATAAGTGGAATGTTGAGTACCAGAAAAAGAGAAAATTCCTATCTTGAAATTTCCATCTTGGCTGTAATTAGAAGTTAGCAATATTACATTGTTGAAACAGATGGTCTATCCTATACATGTCCAAATCTGGGAGAAACAAAAATAAAATTAAAGTAAGCCCTCTGCATGGTGCTAATGGCAGCAGAAGTGAGGAATAGTAATGCGTGTTCTGTGTCCCATGTTGAAGGTGAATGCCAAATGCTTGGTAACATTGAGTGTTTCTCAAGTACTAGATAACTTTCATAGTAAAAGATATTACAGATCTCATTATAAACTGTTGGAAATTACAACAGCTGCTACTTTCAGGGATGTTTTGATTTTTGTAACTGAAGAGCTTTTTTTTCTTTCCTATATTAGGTATTGTACTTCAGTAACAAACTTCCTCGTAATGGGAGGATTTATGCTCCTTGCAAAGCCAGCAATGTAAGCAAACCTTTACCACTTTCTGGACTTTTTGGTCAGCTAGGAAAGAACTGTAAACAATGGAGTGTGTATGTGTGTAGTAATGAGCATGAGGAACTCAGTGTGCTTGAGTACATTAATTCCTTTCCTATCAGATGAATAGAAAGTTACCTCAACTGTGATAAAAATTTAGGTTAAAACGCTGCTGAGTTCAATTACTTTATCTTGAAGATGGAGAAAGGAGGAAAAAAGCATAAGTGATTGCAAATTCCTTCAAAGAAACGCAAGTGGAGTTCAGATAATGATTTTTTGAAAGCTTAGTTTTGAGGTTAAATGTTAGTATTTGCTAGTGTTTATTTCAAATGTTCCTGTCAAAAAAATAGAGAACAGGAATTAGCTAGAGTAGGTAATGTGAATTCACTTTCATTTGAATTCTTTATGTTTATGGAAGTCTTTTAAAATTATGCAAAAATAACATTTCTGCATGTGTGTCTTCTCTGCCTCTCAAGACTTCTGTACTCTATTTCATGCATAAATGCTTGTAAATGTGAGGAAGGAATTGTACTTTAAGGCCTGAGGTAGTATATTTGAGGTTTTTATATCATGAAGTAAAGCTTTTTTCTCATTTAAATAGCATTTTTGTCTAGGAAACAAAGTAATGACACTGAATCTTTCACTTTAGTGCTGTGAAGAAAGTGTTGCACTGACGGTAGTTCTTAACTAGTCTGGAACTGCTACCTTTCCTTCCTAAATTCTGTAATCTGGGAGTAATTGTTAGTGTTTATGAGACACTTTGAATGCAGTGTAAATGATGGTATTGAAAGTTCTTTGGAACACAGGTACCTCATACAAAGAACCTTCTGCACCTGAGGACCAGTGCCAAAGTCTAAATACAAAATCCCACTGCGGAGAGGCACTGAGAGTCTTCTTGGATCGGTCAAGATTTTTAGGTTGACTTAAAGGAAATCTTAATTTAAGTATAAGTTTGTTTATAGTTCATACTGAAACCATTTATGCTGAATTCATCACATCAGTCATCACTCTCAGGTGTCACAGCTTCTCCTGCTGCAACCAGGGTCTCATTAGGAGAATAACACTTTAGGGAGGAGATGTCTTACAACTTTGGTCCTGTTCCTTGCAAAGGGAAGTCAAGGATGTCTTTGATAATGATAAATTTCCCCCCACTCCCTTCCCGAGGGTTAATTGTCTTAAGTCAGTGATTAATGGTGTCAGCCTGTCTTTCATGGATGTTCTGCAATATGTAGTCCCAACTTTAAAAGTGCCAGCTTCAATGGAAATCTCCATAGCTGACAGGTTTTTTCAGCATGTCCTCTGAAAGAGTAGATGAGCTGTACTCAGTTTTATGAATCTGTTATTATTTGATGCTTTTCTACAGAGAAACCTCCATGTGAGGATCTCAAAGCACTTTAAAAAAGGCAAGCCAGACAGGGGGTGAAATTAAAATTAGGAAATAGGGTCTTCTCTCAAGAAGACTTTGTTCCTAAGGCTTGTTCAATAGTGGAGTTCTTAAATATCATTAGCAGACCTAACAAGGTACATTACTTTGATGTGTGAAATGGCATCTCGTGAATCACTCAGCATTCTTAGGAACCTTGCTGTGCAAATCTGATCTGTTTTGCTGTCTCTGGGGGCTTGCTCTCTCAGCCTCACCTGATTCTTGCAGCTTGTGGTTTAAGTGCTTCACAGCTGGATGTGTTTTAATACACCTCTCATATGTGCCAGCACCTGTGTGCACACAGATATGGTGAAGGAGAGGGAAAAGTAGGTTTGTTTTCCTTTTGATCAAGAAACCCTGGTTTTGTGTGCTAATGCATTGTCTTCAGAATCATTTCCCTCTTCTTCTCTGAACTAGATTAGTTCTCCCTCTTGGAAATCAGACTGAGGATTGAACAGATTTCCTGCCTTTCTTTGAGGTAGGATGTAATTTTTGTAGTTAGGGGAAGAATTGGTCAGTTGCCTTGACAGCAGGGGTGGGGAAGAAGTTACTTCAATATATTTAGGGAAGTGCAGTAGAGCAAAGTTAAGATTCTTTCAGGCCTTCTTGTGTGAATCAAGTGTTAGAAACGTACTGCTCTAACAGTAATGGGGAAATCATGCCCCAAAGTTTGCTCTTTACTAAACAAGTGTTAAAGGGGAGAAAGGCAGTTGGGTACAGTCCAAGTTGGGCAACGTAGTCAACTTTCTTCAACCAGTTTAATGACTGAGCATATGAAATTAAAAATAAGAAACAAGTCCCTTGTTGCAATTATTAACTTCATGTCTTTACTGCTGTACTTCCTCAGACTACATTGTGAATAGATTAGTAAGTAGCATGGATTTGCCTCTATAGTTTTGATTGGTTTACAATAATCCAAAAAGGGGCATTCTGAGCTCATTCATATTTACATAAAGCATCTCTAATGTCTTGCTGTCTTCTTTCTTCTCTCCTCCGTTTCCCAATGATCCCATCATTTAGAGACTTCTTGAGTAAAAACCACGAGCTATTACAGAAACTTTCTGAAAAAAATGAGGAAAACCTCCAGCTACTGGAAGTTTTGAATGCTCTGTTTTTCATGCCATTTGGACGACTTCATAATTATGCCAGAACTTTGCTGAAGCTTGCCACATGTTTTGAAGTGGTAAGATTGCTTTGTTATCTGTAGTTCAATAAATACACAAGTGAAACTTATGGCTTGGAAGTAACTGTGTGAAGCAAATGCCAGGTAATTAGAAATAGCTTAGTCCTCAGAGGAGCTATCTCAGACTTGTATTTGCTGCAGGGAAGATCTTGTCCATTTATTTGCACAATCTTGCACCACACCTGCACAGATCACATGAGGGGTAGAAACTTGTTACCCTGCCAGAGCTTGTTTGTGTGCCTGAATATTTAATTGCAAATATATTGTTTTGATGTTTGCCCGGTGCTTTTCAGTTTCATCTGGCAGCATTGCTGTATTACATGGCTGTAATACTCTACTACAAATACTACATATATATTAGGTAGACTATTACCACCCATTTAGTATGTAATTGCTTTGTTTTGAAATAAAAGATGACTAAACAGGAGCGGTAACTACTTGTACGTTTAGCCCAATGTAGTAATTTAAAATACTCTCCTGCAATTATTAGCACTATTTCTGCTACAGCTTGTTAAGCTGCAAGAAGGTAGATCATGTAATTGTGTGTTAACCATTCTATTTGTAACATTCATGGAACTTCTTGTGATTTTTAAAAACTCGTAGCACACCAACAGAACATGTGCCACAAAATAATTCAGTCTCCTCTGTTTATTAACCAGACCAACTGTGCTGTATTTAGTGCTGATTTAATAAAATGAGCAGTTGTGTTGCAGCTTGGTCAGTATTGTTGGTACAGCTGTTCAGAAACACTCTCAGGTCTGTCTTACCTTGTGCCCTACAGGCATCTCCAGAATACCAGAAGCTACAGGATTCTAGTTCGTGTTACGAGAGCCTTGCTGTCCAACTTAGCAGAAAAATAAAAGAAGCAGAATACACACTTGGCTTCTGGAAGACCTTTCCTGGGAAAATGACGGTATAATGACAATTGTCAGTCCATTAGCATCTTGAATTTCTCTTACCGATGCTGCCGTCCCAGTTGCGCTTCTCAGTTTTCTAATTGGTGTTGCTGTAGTACTCTTTAGAAATGAAGAGTTGGGCCTTTGTTTGTCTGAAAGACAAATAGCACTGACCTTAAGTCACAATCAGTGAGAAGTAAGATTCTGTAATTTTGTTTTTCACTCTTCCTGTAGGATTCCTTGCGGAAGCCAGAGCGTCGTTTAATCTGTGAAAGCAGCAACCGGGGTCTGTCTCTACAGCACGCTGGAAGATTCTCTGTAAACTGGTTTATCCTCTTTAATGATGCTCTGGTACATGCTCAGGTAAGACAGCTTGTATCCAAGGAACAAAACCTTTTCTCTGCTTCAAACAACATCATACATTTTTCATATAGTGAAGTTTTTGCACTGTAAAAATAAATCTGAAATTGTGTACTTTTTTAACATTTGATTGCCCATGCTGTGGCTGGCATGGTTTCTGCTTGCTATTTCTTGGACCAAGGGAATGGAAAGAGTTTTTCCTACTCCTCAAAGAAAGGAAAACAAACCATTCAGAAAAAGCATGGGGCAGGGCTAATGCATCAGTACCTAATGAAATGTCCCTTCTCTTTTCCTGCAGTTCTCAACCCACCATATTTTTCCCTTGTCCACACTGTGGGTGGAAGCTCTTTCAGAAGAAGCTGGTAATGTGTGAGTATTCTTGTTTGTGATGCTGAAGTAGTCATATATTCTTGGGAGAGAAGATGAGCATTTTATAACCAATTATTGTGAACTAGGACTGGAATCGTGTGATTGCAGTCATCTCTACCCTTTTTTCTTGTTTCAGAAAATGTTGTATTTCTATGTCTTAAAGTTGTATAAATATCAGAAAGAAGAAGGGAGTTGAGAGGGAAGAGAGTATTCTTTCCTGCTGCTTCTTTTTACTGCTGACTTAAAGGGAGTGCTAGCTGGGGAAGGGGAGAGAAGATACAGTATTGATGCTCTTAAAAAACTTGCTTTTTCAGGTTGGAATTTCACAGATTAAAATACTTTCTCCCCATGTAGGAACGGGTTGAAGATTACAACACCAGAAGAACAGTTTGTTCTTGTTTCTTCAACACCACAGGAGAAGGTGGGCATATCTACAAATTTGGCACAGCTTCAGTGATATGAATGAGGTTTTCTCCCCTACTGTGAAACCAAACTGAGAGAAGGATTGCCTAAGTATTCACCAAGAATGAAGTCTTCCTGCAGCTTGGTGTGCACGGTGCCTGGCTGTAGCAGTGCTCCTGTGCACAGCACTGCGTTGAGCCGGGCAAGGAGATGACTGTGTTTGCTGTAAGGGTGAGATTCGATGCAAAGACAGGCATTAGCTAAATTCTGTGATGAACCTCTTTCTGTTTCAGACCAAGTGGCTGAGGGCAATAAGCCAAGCAGTGGATCAGGCCCTTAAAGGGACTTCTGACATAATTCTATACGGAGCTGGTGGGAATGTGCCAAGACAGGAACCTCCTATTTCTCGCAGTGCCAAATACACCTTCTATAAGGACCCTCGATTTAAGGATGCTGTTTATGATGGAAGGTGGCTTTCGGGAAAACCCCATGGCAGGTAAAAGCATGAATGTTAACAGTTGAAAACTGAGCTGGTTGCTATATCAATAAGTAGGTTCACTCACTGAAGTTACCTGGGAAGTGCAAAGTGACCTGATTATCTTATACGCTTGCCTGGCTTTGTATTTTTTTTCCAGAGGGATCATAAAGTGGGCAGATGGGAGAATGTACTCTGGGACTTTCCGGACCGGGCTGGAGGATGGGTAAGATCCTCTCACTACTTGTGGAGCCAGAGGGCAAAAGATAATTTTTGTTGTAATTAAAGGTTTTGCAGTGAATCTTACTGACTCAGGGTTATGTACATTAATGTTGATATACAGATAATCTCTCATTTTTCCAGAGATATGCTAGTTGTCTTCACAAAAGACTGCAGTTGCCAATGATTAAAAACTTGCTCTTTCATAAAAACTGAAACTAATTGGGGTAATCAGCTGTAGGGTGGAGGAAGGAGATGGTAAAGCAGCTGAGAAAGAATGGGGGGGTGGGGGTCCTCTCGTAGGCAGAGGAAGCCGGTTGAAAAGTCTGCAGTCAGCTTTCTTCTGCATAGGTAGCTATATTAATGTCTTGTGTTGCAATGCTCTTGCAAAAGTTCTGGTATTGTTTATATTATCCTTTCAGAAAATTCAATGCCTTTCATACAATGTAGTGTTGCATCTTCTCTCATGTTTTCTTTGCTGTATTTCTGGTAGAGTAAGGGTTTAATAATTCAGCAAAGAGCCAAATCTCGACTTCAGGGTTTGGGTAATGAAAATAAAACTAATGAGAGTATATGATCCTGATGATGAAGATAACTAGTACAGAGGAGACTGAAAATAGGATGAATGGAAGTTCTAGACATTATCAACTTATGTGGTTAAACAAATAAGACCACTTGAAAGTAACTTGGTTTATTACGCAGCTTTGAATTGATCTGTGGATTTCATTGCTGAGAATCTGCTTAGAGCACTGTTGAGGCCGAGAGGTTAACTTACTTCCAAAGGCATTTTTATATGCATCTTGTGAGCAGACATGTCTGTACTGGGCAGGATAAAAATGTGAGGAGTCCTGCTGACTTCCAGATGAATTTTTGAAGTATTGAGTTGGAGGAGAAAATGAGATGTGGTCTGACTGCAGACAGCTTTTTAAAATTCCTCTTTGCTACTGATATAATGTCAAACTATAAAACCAGATTAGAGCTTTGGTCATTTGTAACTAAGAGTAACTAATCCTGCTGATTTTAAGGTTGTTGGAGATGGAAATATTGCAAACAAATCCTGACCAGAAATGCATGTATTGGTATTTAGCTGTAATTGCTGAAATTATCAAATGCATATACTTGTATTTCAGTGTGCATGTTATAGTCTCAACACTTAACAATAATGTGTTATTGGGGTAGACATGCTCTCAGGAAAACCTTCCTAACTTCATTTAATCTCCTCAGGAGATTAAAAGCAATGAATGTGTCTCATTTTTTGGGGGCATATTGAAATTCTGAATAATTCCTTGCCCCTCACCACTCAGCATAATTGGAAGGTAGCATCCTTTTAAAAAATATTTTCTGTAGCAATATATGTTCTCATCTCTCCCTGGAATAAAGGTGTGCTTGAATTGTCAAGACCTGAAGAAAACAATAAAGGTAGAAACAGTCTTAGGATCAGAGAAGACTGAGAAAAATGCTGCAGTGTGGTGGAGAGGGGTGTATTTACAACATGGCATAATCAAACAGGAGAAAAGCAGTGTGGACTAAATTGACCTAGTGATGCTGGAACACTCACTTTCTCTTCAAAAAATAATCTGTAACTGCTGTAGTTAGAGATGCACTAAGAATGAAATAGAACATTGTGATTTTAGAATGGGTCTGTGATATGTGTCTGCTCTGTTTTTCATGAGGTGTATTAGCATTACAGCTGCTTGTGTTCCATTTCTGTGCACTGGCAGGTATGGTGAATACAGAGTGCCAAACAAAGCACTGAATAAGGATGACCATTACGTGGGGTACTGGAAGGAAGGCAAAATGTGTGGGCATGGAGTCTACAGGTAACATGTGGCACTTGTTGCTGTCATTGCAGAGCTAATGCTGCTTACCAAACCTCTGTGCAGCTTTGTGACATTTCAGACTTGTGGATGTGGTGAGCTTGGCTTATTTTCTGCTTTGCTTTTGGTAGATGGCTCACGCTGCAGACTTGTACAGTGGTCTGTTATTAATGTCTGTTCTGATGTTGCTGCCACCTGCCAATAATACAGAATTCTTTAATCTGAGAGACAAACATATCAGCTAATGGCCCTGCTCATTGTGGAGAGAGGGGGTTTAAAACAACAAAGCATCAGAAGACTTGTAATAAAGGATTGCTTTTATTCCAAATATATTTTAACTCTAGTTCCTGCTTGGTATGGTAGTAATGCAATTCCTAGAAGGAAAATGAGAGGATTGATCTGTTTTGGGGAAAGGTGGAGGAGGGGGGAAGTACCCAATAAAAAAACCAATCAAAAGCCCCCAAACCAGCCCCCCAGCAGAACCTTAGATTCTTTTGTTGTTGTTGTTACAGCTATGCTACAGGTGAGGTGTATGAAGGGTGTTTTCAGGATAACATGCGTCATGGGCATGGGCTGCTACGCAGTGGGAAGCTGACCTCTTCCTCTCCCAGTATGTTCATTGGCCAGTGGATAATGGACAAGAAGAGTGGTTATGGAGTCTTTGATGATATCACAAGGTAATGCTTCCAGAAATCCTTAAAACTCCAGTAGGACATGCAATTGCAAAAAGTGTAGGAAAGGACTTGATTTGTTAGTACCAGTAATAGTGCAAGTCTCTTTCTTCTTTATTGCTAGGCTGTCTGGGTTGATGATCCAAAAAACTGAGTCTAGAGACTGCTTTTTTGGTGTTGTTTCTGGCATAAATGTGGTGGGGTTTGCTTTGGGTTTTTTTCTGTCTTCCTTTTCTATCATACTCCTGCCTGAAAACAAGCTCTGAATGGGATGTCTTATTGAGGGATCATGTTGTGTGTGTGCTGAAAGTTTTATGAATGTCATGTGAGGAGTATTCTTTCATCTCAGGCCTCTGAGACTGGGTTGTTCAATGATGGATATACAGGACTCAGTAAATTTCAGCTCATGCTCAGGTTTTCTGTTTACTTACTCTGTCAGTGCAGTGGAGGGAAGATGCTTTCTCTCAGGGCAGAGCACTAAAATTACCATCTCAGAAAGAGAATTGCACTACACATGTACATTAAATGAACACTGAGCACAGATATATATGGTCTGCTTTTCAGCCACCAGTTCTTTTTTTTTTTTCCTGAAAAGAGCTTTTGGTGAAAGCCCAAGGAACTGTTTTTGGTTCAACTGAACTGAAAGCCCCATTCAAAAGCAGAGTAGACAAAATCTGTAGAGTGAAAGGGGATTGTTTTTCTGAAACAGAGCTATTGTAACATCTCTAGGTATTTCCTGATGTCATTTTTGCATCTAGTCTTGCTCAGTGGTGGTGGTTGTTCTTATACTGTAGTGTCACGATGCCTCTACATACTTTCTTTAGTCATTTATTTACCTAGGACAAACTAAAGAGAGCCCAGCTTTTCTTGCAGATCCTCTCACCTCCAGAATCTGTAAATGCAGTGGCAGTTCATGATGAAGGAGTGTGGCATTTGCTTTCTACTCCAGAATTACTCAAATATGAGTGAGCTGCCCCCATGTAGTTTTCTTTCTGGTCTCAGAAACACATATGTGTACATATGTTTGTGGCCTAAGGATTCATTTTCTGCAGTTATTCTTCAACCCAGACAACTAAGAAATAGCTGCAGACACTTTATTACCTGTTGTTATTGTTGCAAACCAATTATTTGAGCAAGTGGGGCTTCCAGTTTCCATCCTGGTAACTGAGCGTGCAGCATCTCTCTTCAAGGAGCCTTCACCCAACTGAGGCCCCCATAGTTGGCACAAGGAATTGGAACAGCATCCTGCTCCTTATGGGTCCAGTCAGCTGGGAGAGACCCCTGAATTTAGTTTAATGGCTGGGCTTACTCTCTTTGCTATAAACATAGTTTTTCCTGTGTAGTAGAAGGAAAATCCTTGGTAATAAGCAGAGTTGTATTAAGTCAGTCAGTAGTTTCCTTCTAAAAGCAAACAAAAAGGGCCTTGACAAGTTAATTTTTTGTTGCTTGGTGAAAACATCATGTTCTCTCTTAGAACAACTGCAAAAATAGATTTTTTTCAAAATATTTGGGACTTGCACTGATTTTCAAAGACTCTAGCCTGACTTCTGTGGACTTACATGCACAAAAAAGTCTGAAAGAGGCTGGTGTTTATTCGTGAGCAATCTTTAATTGTCTAATCAATTTTTTTGATATCATGACCTATGTTAGGCTGTTATGCAGAAACTTTCTACAACATGATCTGTTTCCTTACAATTTTTGCACTCTTAATATTTCAAAAATATCATCTATGACTTTCTAGGTCTCCCTCTTATTCCCCAAGTAGAACAACTCGGTTTCTTTTCTTTATTTTCCTCTCAATGAGAGTCATCCGACTTCAGGTAAAAGAAATAAAAAACTTTGGCAAAACGAAAGTCTAAAATGAACTTATGCATCTTTTCTAAATAACTGTAAAATACATCAGATAGATGCATGATGAAGCTTAAGATCACCTTTCCTGTGCAACTGAAATCTTAGATAAAGCTGATCAAAGCAGCTAAAAATTTTCCCTGTTTTATATGTGTTGGGGCTCCTGCTCAGGTTCCTTGGGGTATGAGTGGGGCTTAACCAGGGCTTCAGTGTTGTTTCAGATCATCAGGAACAGCTTGCTTGGATATGGCCAGTTTGAAATGTGAACTTGGAAAGGAAGTTCACTGTAATTATTTCTATCAAAAAGTGTCTGTATTTCCATGGAGCTGGTAAAACTAGATTGACAGACCCAAAGCAAGTGCTCTGTGACTCTCTCCTAATGGTTTCTGTAATGGTCAAATACTGCAGTAAAGCCAAAGAGAGAATATAAATGTACTCTTAGACTGTATTCTTTGTACTTCATTTTTCTTCAGAGGAGAAAAGTACATGGGAATGTGGCAAGATGATCTTTGCCAAGGCAATGGTGTTGTGGTTACTCAGTTTGGACTGTATTATGAAGGAGCCTTCAGCACCAACAAAATGATGGTGAGTTGGACACCAGACCCTGGGCTATAGTGACTTGTCCCCAGGTGTGGCAGCTTTCTGGGGCAGATGAGAGTGTGTTAGGTTGTGTAAACCTTCTGTTCTTCTAACCTTCTGTTGTCCAGGCTTTTAAAACTGGCTTTAAAACCATCCCTGTTTTACATAGGACTACTTCAGAAACTGCCTAAAAGATTATTATTTGCTAAGAATTAGTAACAGGTTTTTCAGTGTATCTTAAAATCTGCAGTCTGACCTTCTGTTATAATTACTACTTCGTGTTCTTTATGATTCTTTTTGTAGGGGACTGGAATTCTGCTTTCTGAGGATGATACAGTCTATGAGGGGGAATTTTCAGATAACTGGACTCTGAGTGGAAAGGTTGGTATTTGAGTTGTTACTTGTAAACTGTTACTATCCAAAAAAAGAAAAAGTTGCTTTCCTTATAATTTCTTTCCCAATGGATTTCAGTTAAATTTTTTTTGTCATCTTCTCTCAAGGGAACACTGACTTTGCCAAATGGAGATTATATTGAAGGTCTCTTCAGTGGAGAGTGGGGATCTGGGATAAAAATCACAGGAACCTACTTCAAACCTACTTTGTATGAGAATGAGAAGGACAAACCTAAAGCACTGTGAGTGTTGAATAAGGAATAATTTCTCATATTGGTTCAGTAATACTTAGGAACAGAACTATTGTCTCCTTTCAAAGGCTAGTAAAAATATATCTTCCAAAGAAACAAGTTTTTGAAAACTATTTTCCTCTTTCCTCCTGCTCATGAAATAAAACAAGATAAATGTCTTTTTTATAGCTATTCTTGCTTTAATTACTACTTTAATATGCAAGTAATGGCATGAAATTACAGGACAGCTGATGTCCTGCTGCTGTCCTGTAGCAGTTCAAATTTTTTTTTGTTTGTATTGGAACTGACTGTTAGAACCTGAGTTTGCAGCTTCTGCTGACTCTTGAGGTACTGGAGTGGTTAAGTTACTCACAGACCTCTTTGCCTTCTGCCAGTTATTCTCTTGGCAAATTAATTTATTTAGTATGTCATTTAATAATACTAGTGGGGATATATTTGGACAGAGCTGGCTAAATACTACACCTCTTCCAAACAGTGCATAAGAAAATAGTGGAAAATTGCTCAATTGCAGAAGAGCCTTGGCAAAGATCACTTTGAAAAGTATCCATAGAACCCTCTGTGTAGCAGATGCATTAGGTCAATTTGCTTAATTATTTCTGGGGAAAAAAAATACGTGTTTAAGTTATAAGTGACATATCTTTGGGTAGAAGAAATCTAATTTAAAGAGTTGTTGGTGAGATGTCAGTATTTGGTAGTGCTATATATTGCTTTATTAATTGCTGTATGGGATTCAGTATCTTTGAAGCACACTCTCAAATTTCAGATTGAAATGGGAAACACAGCCCTAATGTTTTCATGTAGATTACTTCTCAGGGTGCTTCCTGAAGCTTTCACTAGTAATTTCTTTTGACAGTGCTGACACCTACAACAGCATGCGAGTTAAGCAGGCCTCCCTGCTGAACTGAACACTTGCAACTTTAGCAGCTGTCTGCTTTTTACCCCAGTAGGGAGTCTATGAATAAATGTATGTACATATTTGTGAGGATTGCTTGTGAAATAAGGGTTTCATCTACCCTTTTCAGACTCTCTTGAAGTTGAAAATCTTCTGGTATAATTTGTGAAAAGGCTTTGAGCCTACTTTTTCTGCTTTGTGAAACTGGAAGCATGGGGAAATCCAGTGTTGCTAGTTCTCATCTCAAATGTGGTAGAAGAAATATTAATGAAAGGTCTGACAATTTCTGACACTTGATTTAAATCAAGACAGAACTGTTAACCCTGACAGCATTTATTTGTTTACAAAAGCTTTTCAAAGTCCTAAATTTCATCATATGTCTGAGATATCTTTATATATGTGGGGAGAACAGCTCCTGGTTTTCTTATAGCTATATAGAGGATCCCTGAGCATTGTCTGTCAATGAAAAGGTGCCTGAGCTGGTTTTACTCCCTACCAGCATATCCCTAACAAGTCACATAACATGGTATGTAGATGCTACTTTAGGGTCAGAAACTGTGTATCCATCCTTGGTATTTCTTTGGGTAGCTCTGCTACTTGTAAGTTCCAGGATAGTGAGATATTTGGGACATATTTGTGCCTTCTCCTTGCTACGTGAATGTGTCCTGAAGTTTCTGAATGAATACCTGTGGTGAAGATAAGCACCACTCCTTTCTTCTATCTAAGCAAACTGTTTCCTGGAAGGCCACAAGAAATCATAAAACTAATAAGGTTCATAGTTTTCTCACTCACACGTAGGTATTTAAAACCTTTTAATTTTGTAGCATTATAATATATTACATGGATGAACATATGTCAGTTAGCAAGGAAAAAAAATAAAGGATATATAAGGTTTGTAAGGGCTTATTATTTTTAAAGGTGTTAATTAAACAGTAGACTCTAGGTTTATTCTTAATGATAGACTTGATTCACAGTAGAGTCTGTGAAGTATAGCAATTTTGGTAAAATAGTGTGAGATATTAGACTGACATTAGCCACGGGTTGCTGTAATAGCTGAATGTGTTGTTTCATTGCTATTTGATTTTTAACAGACCGACTGGTCATTTTATTAGGCGGAAACTTGGGATCCTGGCAGTGTCTCCTGATGAGAAGTGGAAGGCAGTATTTGAAGAATGCTGGAACCAGCTTGGTTGTGAGAGCCCTGGCCAGGGGGACAGGTGGAAGGCTTGGGACAACATTGCAGTGGCTCTGACCACCAACAGACGGCAGCACAAAGACAGGTTGGTCCCAGGAGAATGTAGCTGGCAAGACAAAATGGGGATGGAGAAAGAAACTGGAATCACACTCTGCTCTAGACTAGACATTCTGACTGTAAAGCTTTAGTTTAAACAACAACAGCAAATCCTAAGCAAAATCATAACTTGTACTACTCTGCACTACAAACCCTTTCAGGGACATACTGGTGTTTAGAACTAGTTCAGTTATTAATATCAGAGGTTTTTTCGCTGCTGTATGGCTCAGTCTGTGCAGTGTCTTTGTCTTTTTAAACTGCAGCCCAGAATTATTGAGCCGCTCACATACTCAGACACTGGAAAGTTTGGAGTTCATTCCACAACACATTGGTGCCTTCACCCTGGAAAAATATGAAAATATAAAAAAATATTTGATAAAGGTATGTGATTCAAATGCTCCCATAGTAAGACATGGTAAGACATGACATCAAGCTTACTTTATAGTAGCTTTCTTTAATTCCTTCCATATTTGCACTCCTGTAATCCATATATTTGTTCATGTTTGCCCATAATTTTTTGAAGTCCACAACTAAGACTAAAATCATTGAATACCTAATGGATGCTCGCTTAAAGTCAGCTTCTGTTCAGTTGCTGTTTTCATTCTTACATGTTGGATCCCAGCAAAGCATCTTGAAATACTTGCTAAGTATTGCATGTTAATTTTAAGTGTATTGGACAGATGACTAGTCCAAGTAATAGCACAAGTTCTTGTACTGTCTTGACTCCTATGAGCTGTGTTCAGCTGCCACATTTTATAATACAAATGTCAATTTGTTAAATATAGCTAATTTTTGAGATACTTTGTAATTTTTTTTTTCTTAAACTTGTCTACCATTGACCTATCTGACTGGCCACTTAATATCCTTTATCTCAGGCTTGTGATACTCCTCTCCATCCATTGGGCAAGCTGGTGGAAACACTGGTAGCTGTGTACAGAATGACCTATGTTGGAGTAGGAGCCAATCGCCGATTGCTGCAGGAGGCTGTGAGAGAGATCAAGTCCTACCTCAAACGCATCTTCCAGCTCGTTAGGTAACGAGCCTCTAATTTTCAAGTCAGACTACTGCTGAATTAACTAAAGATGTCTAGTGTACATACACCCCAAGTGTGCCAGCATTGTTACTTGGGTTTGGAGTTTGCTTCTTTTTCCTGAACCTTTTTAAGGAGTCTTAAAAAAAAATTAAAATCTTCACACCAGTGAAGATCCTACCTTGTCCCTCAAAACGTGCCTGTAAGAAGTTCATCTTGGTTATGGATTTGCAGTTTAGTGTCTGGATATTGATGCTGTGCAAAGACAATGTTCAAAGGGTAAAGAAGACTAGTGAGGATGGAGACTCCCAGTGTATTCCATAAAGTTCTTATCAACATGGATCATTCAACATAGATGAATGATCTTCCTGTGAAGGGCTTGCTTTGATTCTTGAGAACAATTACAGCTTTAATTGGGTCCTGCCAATCTGAAAGCAGAAATACTCTAAATTACTAACTTTAGTTAGTAATTACTAACTTTTAGTTAGTAATTAGAAGTCTTGTGATGTCAGTGTAGGAAAGGTAACCTTGGCATTGGAAGAGTTTCTTCCAGGGAGATGGTACTGTATGTCTGTTAGCTATGCTGTCTTAGCCCACTGTATATTATTTTTGCTGACTTTCTTCTTTCCAGTCTTGCTTTCTAATGCTTTGATATGTGGAATCTTCTTGAAATGAACTCAAAAATTGTTATGTGTCTTGCCTTTTAGGTTCTTGTTTCCTGATCTGCCAGAAGAGGGCAGCACCATTCCATTTCTGGAACTGCAGACAAAAGGAAGGCGATCATTTTGCAGTGGGAAATCCGATTCCAGATCAGAATCTCCTGAGCCAGGGTACATAAAGGAAAAAAAAATGAACAAAACAAATAAAGGCTTTATTTTATTTCTGTTCCAATTTGTTTCTTGTGTGAGGGGAGAAAGATAAACACATGATGGGTATATGCATTGTTTATTTTCCATTTGGTTCTGATGACAGATTCTGATAAGCAAACTTCCATGTGATGTTTGTTATAAGCATTTCATCCTTGTTCCATGCACTGGTTCTTTACTTAAACCTAAATTTGTTTTTATCTGTTATGGGGAAGCAAGTTTTATTTAGGATAAGAGCACTGGGGGTAATTTGTAATCTCTTCTTAGCAGAGATACTATTTAATGGATTTGTATTTATTTTCTCACTCTTGTTCCCCATAGAATAGACTCATACTACATGAAAGATTTCTTCCAATGATTATCATTCCATTTTTATATATAATTAGGTTTTTACAATGTCTTCCTCTACAAACTACCTCTCTCTCTTTTTTTTTTTTTTGTTTTGTTTTGTTATAGCTATGTGGTAACCAGTTTTGGCTTGCTGCTCCCTGTACTACTGCCACGACTCTACCCTCCCCTGTTTATGTTGTATGCCTTAGACAACGAGCGTGAGGAAGATATTTACTGGGAATGTGTTTTACGTTTAAACAAGCAAACTGATTTGGCTCTGCTCAGTTTTCTTGGGGTGCAAGCGTGAGTATGCTTCAAAAATGAAACACAGTTGGAAAGGGATTATGGCATGTAATTAGATAAAGCAACTAAAACAGACCCCCTGTTGTCTAAAGTATTTGCTTTGATTAAAATGCATCTAAACCTGTCTTCAAGCTAATTAGTGTAGCTGAGAAAGTGAATCAAAACTTCCCTCGTCCAAAAAGGGGAGGTGGGAGGGATGAGAAGGGGTTAAAAAACTGGCATTGCTATTGCTACAGAACCAGAGACATTTCAGGTTCGACTGTTTTCTGGCTACTTGTGCTAGATGTAGTTGATCCTGTAGGGAGGGCTGTTGTATCTCAGAGAAGAACATGATGACTTCATTTTCATAAGCTGAAAAATGCTGTGAGACTGTGCTCTCTCAGTAGACTGTGTTGGGTTTCTTGCAGGAAGTTTTGGCCAGGAACTGTATCCATCCTTGGAGAGAGTAGAAAGGTATGTTCATTGAGCCTTGACTTTCAGTATGTTTTGCTTCTTTCAAGAAGCAGTCAAAGAATTTTTGACCAGGCTTTTTGCTTAAGAGATGCTGTCTTACCTTGTTTCCTTAATGTGTGTCTGCTCCTTAAATGCTACATTGGTGATTTAGCAGGGGTATTGGACTAGATGATGTCCAGGGGACCCTTCCAACCCCAACATTCTGTGATTTCTTACAATAGCCATCAGTCTGGCTTTGTCACTTACTGCCTTATTTGGTAATGAATTCTAATTCAGGAAGACATTGCCTTGATCTCCAATTATGAAAGTGTGAGAATAAAAGTGTAGCAAGAAAATTTTCAAGCTCCTTGATTAAGAGAGTTGTATAGTTACTCCTGCCTTCAATACACATTTTCCCTCTTTATAACTTTGGCTTGTGCAGTCTGTAGCATGGCTTTTATCAGAATAGTTGCTGCACATGGATAAGCTGATATTCCTTGGTAGAGATTATTACAAGTTTGGAATAATAACCAAAGGTGCTGCTGGACCCCACCCCTGAGAATATGGGTTCCCATCAAGAAAAGTCCCCTTTTTCCCAAATCACGAAGATTCACCTGAGAAAATACAATGCAGACCTCCACTCAAACTTTAAAAGTTACAAAATCCAGCAATAACATGTTTCTCGAGCTACTTCAGATCTTCTGTATTTTCAGGTACTAGGCAAAATTCTTATCTGAACCCCCCACACTTCTGACTGGCTTTTTCTGGGTTATAGAGTAGAGCCCCTCCACTGTGAAGTGCTATGTGGCGTGTCTTCTCTGAATGATGCAGTACATGCCCTCTGCAGCCATGTTCCTTATTTGCTGGGTCATTCCTTCAGTTAAGCAGGATGTTTTCAGCCAACTCATCATGTTCATCTCCATTTCGCTCTGTCCAGTTTCTTCACTTCTGTGGATTTCTCTGAGCCTTTTTGCATCCATTGCCTACCTGCTCCATTCAGAAAGACTTAAGCTAGTTGCATATTAAGAGCTAACATTTATATTTTTTCTTTTCTGTTTACTCCAAACCTGAGTCTTTGGTTATTCACTGCTATGATTTTTCCAGGTTTTAGTCATTCTAGTCTTAGAGTTCCCTCTTGATTGTTAACCATTAAGATCAGTGATTCTCAGTCTTGCTTGACCTGGAAGGTATTCAAAACCTGATTCTTGTAACATATACCAAAGAATTCAGTACAGGCTTTTCTCTAGTTTTAATGAAACCTATACAAAATATAGGTAGGCATGACTGTAGCATCCAGGCACATTCCCCTTTCCTTGCACTGGAAAACTGACAAAAAAGTCTTTTATGCCAGTGTTACATGATGGTCTGCTTTTCTTGTGCTGCTGAATAGGGGGGTTTCCAAACCTGCCTGATAAATCTTATGATTACACAGGTATCATCAAATACAAAAGACGCCTGCTTTGCCTCTGCAGTTGAATGTTTACAGCAAATCAGGTAATTCTCTGAAATTTATCTTTTAGTGTTTTACTGTTCCTGCTATAGTGATGTCTAGTTTATTTGACTGTGATGATTTACCTGTCACCTTTTTTGTTCACCTTCATAAGAGAAGTCATGGAGAAGTTTTCCAGTTCCCACTAAAAATCCTAGCAGTTTCTCCTAGTGGGGGTGTGTCCTCAGAAATGTGACTGAAGGGTGTGTCCATGGGGCACCATTTAGAATCAAAGGCATAAGGACGTCTATCAAATACACGTGGGAATTTCTAAACAGCTGTGGTGAAATGACCATGGGAAGCTTTTCTGTGCCTGTTAACTATATCCTGTTGTAAGAATTTAAGCAGAAATTTAAAAGACTTTAAAAAGGAATTTTTCCCCTTTTACCACTTTATTAAAACATCTTAAAACTGTGAGGACAGTCTCACTTGGAGTAGTGTGCCTTGGTATGGTAATTATAGCTTGGGGTACTAAACAGCCTTGGCAGCCACGGCTGTTGTGATGTGAATGGTCTGACTTCTCTTCTTGGGCGGGGGAGGGCTGTGCTGGCTGGCAAACTGTCTTCCTAAAGTCAGATGCAGATCTCTAACTTCTTATCGTTATCCTGTTTTGCTTTTGCTCTCCAAATAGTACCACATTTACCCCAGCTGACAAGTTGAAGGTGATCCAGCAGACTTTTGAAGAGATCTCCCAGAGTGTGCTTGAGACCCTTCAGGAAGATTTTCTGTGGTCCATGGATGACTTATTTCCTGTTTTTCTCTATGTGGTGCTACGAGCCAGGTAGGCACTAAGGTTGGCATCAGTCATAAGCTGAGCATAAGCAGTGTGAGTACTTTTACCTGTATTAAACACTCCTGCTGCTCGTCATAGGACTGGTTGCTAGCTTCTTATAACTGGAAATTTTCCAGTTTGACTGTTTGCTTTGGCCTGAAAAAATCTTGGACAGTTTACTTTGAGATGTCTGTGGCTGAGGTTAGGGACAAGCATGGGTTTTTGCACAACACCATGTACAAGAAGTAAAAAAAATTACAATGGTGTCTTTTGTTCAACTGTTCACTTTCCTACTCTCACATATGACAGGATAAGGAATTTGGGGTCTGAGGTGCACTTAATTGAAGACCTGATGGATCCCTATCTGCAGCATGGGGAGCAAGGCATCATGTTCACTACCTTGAAGGTATGAAAATTGTTCAGAGTTATTAAAGGCTTTCTTTGGAAATAATCAGCTTTTAGCAATGAAGATCATCTTAGGGCAATGGTATGAACATTAGGTTGTAACTTCTCAGACTTTTTAATTTAAATTTTTAGCTAGGATGAGCAAGGAAACTTAAGGTAGAGCTCTGGATAACAACAATTGCAAGTACTGCAAATAAAATGGTGCAATGTGCAAATGTACATTATTCAAATGTAATGTTGATTGCTATTGACTGTTCTAACTCACCTGGAGCTTGTCATTCCCCTGCAACTTAACAAGCCTTATTTCCTTTATAAAAATTGAAGTTCTTTGGAGATTAGCCTTCCAGTAAAGTTTAAACCTAACATTACATCAAGACTCTACAGGAATTCAATTTGGGGAAAAAAAAATGTAAAATTTAGTATCACTCCACATTTTATTAAGTACTCTTATCTTAAATATGGGAAAAGGAAGAGGATCTGTTTGGGAGAATATCCTATTGCACACTAAGACCTTCATAATGGAAATACGTTGTTTTGGTACCTCAAAACTGTTCAAACAAGTGCTTTTCAGTCTGAGTGCTTTTGAAATTCTTCACCCCTGCATCCTTGTCCTGTAAGAAAATCTTTTCTTCTTTTGAGTCCTTCTGTCAAAGGGCAAAGAAGGACTTATGAGCAAAAATGTACTTCATCTTGACAAAGCTGGGAACCGTGAAAGTATTTAGAGCCTCAATTAATGCTATCTTGCTTGATTAGGAGTTGGATGTCATTTGTAACTTAGTCTCCTGTTCTTTTTGCTAGCTTACATATCAGAAGATTCACAGGTGTTGAGTGTCACTGTAGCATCACTGCTTGTAGACAGCCTAGTCTTCTGTTTTCTTGGATAGAAAAAACATCAACCTTTGCACGTGTGCTGCTTTATCAGGTTGCTGTGAAGTGGTATGTACACTAATCTGAACTTTGTTTTAATTCAGGCATGTTACTACCAGATTCAACATGAAAAGCTTACCTAGACCATCATGTACGACCTGGCTCTGTGGGATAATCTACTCAGTGGAACTTCACTAATAACCACTTCTTCTCTGAAATGGCCCTTAGAAAATACTTGGTTACAGTTCTCCTGCTACAGAGGGAAAATATTCAGTTGTTTCTTCTGAACTTTCAGTTCTAAGATTCAAAAACTGCAGCCAGAGCCTAACTATGAAGTGGTGATGAAGTTAGAGACTTAGTTTGTCAAGTACCTGCCAAGAAGAAATACTTTCCTATTCTAACAGAAAGATGATTTACTCCTTTTAAATGAACCATGCTGCAAAAAGGCATGGCACCTACATAGAACACATATGAAAGTCTGGACTGCATGGCTTCCAAAGCAGGGGGGTTGTTTTTATTATTCCTGGTTTGTGAACAGAGACGTTTAAAGAGAATGAATTGCACCACAGAAGGCATTTGGTCTTCCTGAATTAAGTTGTTACATTTGTTTATTTAATAAAATAGAAGTATGTTAGTATTTATAATGGGTAACCTGTACTGTGTTTGGCTGTAAAGGTTTTGAGGCATCTGTGTTGAACAGCATTGCTGAATGCAGTATTCATGTGCTGTCGTGGAAATAATCACACTGTTATGGACTTCCCTGTTTACTAGAATTGTAAATATACAAGCAATCACCCTTCTTTCTGTTTATGAAATAAATAAAAGGCACTGACCATTTCAGATTTTGGCACTGAATGAAATGCTCTGCAGTGTTCAGTTTGATTACCCTGAGCTCAGAGGGCAAATGCTTTCTCTGGAGGCCCATGTGATAAGAGGTAAGAAGGGTGCTCTTAAACAGGTGTGGTGGGTTGGCCTTGGCTGGACACCAGGTGCCCACCAAGCTTTTCTATTGCTCCCCTCCTCAGCAGCAAGCAATGTCTGACCACTTCCCGGGAAGCAGGGCTTCGGCATGCAGAGCAGCTGCTCCAGAGGCAAACTCTTGGCACTGGTTTCAAGGCCTTTCCGCTGTAGGAAAGCTCCTGAGCAGTTCCCTCACAGTTCCCTGTGTTGAGCTGGCTGTGACAGCGGGTTTGGAGCTACCACCATCACCCCTGGTCCCGCCTGCCCCAAGGCACAGCTGCCCCTAAGGCTCAGCTTCAAGGCTCCGGTGCTTCCTGTTCGGATGGGGGCCTGGGGTGTCTGTGTTGGCACTAATTACATGGTCTTGCTGCTTTAGGAAAGCTCCCTGTGGTCCCTCAGCACGATCCGTGGCTCCTGAGCACTGCTGGAGCAGTTTACCTTGGAGGCTGTAGAGAACAAGTAATTTCCCTGGGGAATTTCTGTGGATGTGTGTGTTCTTCTGTGGTTTATGCCACTAGTGGATAACTAGAGTATGTTAGGTGCTGTTCTTTACAGGACTGACTCAAAAAGAAGGAGAGGAAAAAATAGATTACAGAATGGTTTAAGTTATGTCAGACTGCCATAGATAATGCTACTCATACTTTGAAGTAGTAATCATGGCTGGTGTATTGGCACCTAAATGGAAAGAAACCATATGGCAAAATAGTGTTTTGAGCAGTGACCATAATGTAGCAATTTTCATAATAAAGTAAAAATGATTGGTCTTCTTGAAATTATTTTTAGAGAAAGGGAAAGTAAGTCTGGAATGTTTAAAACTGTTGTTAAACTTGCAACAGACTTGCAATAGTGATAAGGGAATATAGGGAGAGTAGACTTCATGTTTGCAAAGAATTTAATGTTAGTTTTATTTTTAAATTCTACTGAATAATTCAAGGAGAGTTAAGCAATGATATAAAGAAAAGGGAAGCTTTAGAAAGTTAACTTGAGAAGGGGGGGGAAGACACATAACTAGGGGTGTAGAGCATAATGAAGTATAAGGCAGGAATTTGAACATTTCATCTTTTGTGCCCGATGCAGCCTTTCCATGCAATCATCTCTTAGAACTCAATGTAAAAAAAAAGTTAAACCTGTAGGAACAGAACTGCCCTTTGAAAAAGAGCTATGCTGAACAGCTGAGTAAATCAATGGCAATAATTTTCATCTGCAAAAGATCTGAATTCAGGATTTATTTTGCCTTTTGTAGGAGTGTTATCATGAAAAACAGATTTGGGTTGGTTTTTTTCCCCTGTAACTGTTTTTGATTAGTGTTTGTTGTCTTTGGATGTTTCAGAAGAAAGGATTTTAATATTCAGCTTTGACATGAGAAAAACTTTGTTTCATATGACCTTACTCCTAAGTGGATTCTGTGCCTTAAACTGATAGTGTAACTAGAGATAGGAAGTTTTTCCATAATCTTTCTGCCTTTCAAGAACAAGGTATATATACAAATATGTAGCAACTTTAAATGTGTAACTTCATTTACTGTGAATGATGCAAAGTTGAGAACTAAAAAAACTAAAGAATACATTTGCCTTTACAGATATCTATCTATCTATCTATCTATATATCTTTATACAAGGTATGTATATGTACACACAACCTCTTAGAAAAAGTAGTGGTATCACATATGAATTCAGCTTGCTGATTAAGGGAAGCAGACAGTCTGGGCTGGATTATTTTTGGTCTTTCTGATGTATAGCTCAGTTATTAGCTGAAGAGAATCCTCGGATTAAATGTGCTTCTGACACAGATTCCACTTTACAGCCCATGTGGGCTGTGATGCATTAGGAAATCAGTACAAACCAGCTTTGATTTGTGTATTGCTGTAGCTAACAAAGAAATGAGTTAACCTGTAGGACCTTTCCAGCTGGATTGCTTCATGGTAATTACTTTTCTCTCTCTTCCTTTTTCTTCCTTAAATTGAAAGCCGGATATTTCTTGTGCTACAGCAGAAATCCCAGCAACAGAAGATCAGTGCTACAGTATTAGAGATTCTCACAGCAGTCACAGGCACAGTACCTGAAGACAGACCCCAAGAGATGAGTGCCCTACTGCCTGGAAAAGTTGCTGAGAATAAGAAACTGCTGAAGTGAGAGGCAATGTAAAGTAGGGGTTTTATGCAAGAAAAGGGTTAAGGGGATTTGTTCTCTTCTCCCTGGTAATGAGTAGTTCTAAGGTTAGGTTTCTGCGGATTAGAAAGGAGAGGATGTCCATAGATTAGCTAGGGCAGTGAGGTTACTTGCTCTATGAACATCCAGCAAATATTCTTTCCTTCTGGAAATTCTGCATGGGCTGAACATGGCGTATTCTGTGCTGTCTGCAGGTAAGCAAATATGCACTGAAACCATTGTACTGCAAGGATGCATTTCCCCACGCAACTGTAAAATTAGTTTCTTCTCATAGCTATAGCAAAGCTAATTAAACTTGTGATATCTGTTCAATTCCCATTAGCTAAATATTAGAGGAATGTATGAAAGGGGAGTAGCAGCTTGAAAGAGAATTTTCTCTTCAGGCCTAATCTTCACAAAGTATTCTGACTCAAATGCCAGGTGCTATACATTACTGATATATTTTGCCAAAAGTAGGTTCACTTCTTAATTGTACCTGTTTTTAGAAACAGGTTAGGAAACTGCCTGTTCTGATATGCTGGGAGATAATGTAGATGAAAGATATGTGACGGATATGGGACTGTAAGACAAATCCTTTCTTTGAACTACCTAGGTATGTACTTCTAAGCTGATTTAGTGCCAATGTGGTGGTTGGTTTTTTTTAGGGGGGTTTTGGTTTCTTTTCAGAAAGCCCAAGCTGTTGTCAGTGAACAGCTGGAAGTAGAGCTGGCTGCCCCTCATGACAGTGTGCACTGCACCCAATTGTTCTCTGGGTGCTCTTTAGGAAGTGATGTTTTAGTGGTGTTGCCCTGTGTAAACAAGGGGCTCTCACCACCACTGCAGCTGGGAGGTTTTGCTTCAGAGGGAGGCAGCATGAATCACTACTGAATGGATCTCATTACAAAGAGTAATAGCATAAATTGTTCCATTAGCAACCTTACATATGCAGGTGTGATTCTGTGAAATCTCACAGGATGCCTTACATCAGAACATTTTTTTAGTCTTCTTTTTCAAACTCTACCACCTCTGACTTGTGTTAAGTGGTTTTTGGGTTGAGATAACAATATACAGTTTCAAAGTACAGGTCTTTATCTTTGCTTAAGATATGTCAACGTATTCCACTAGTATTTAGAGTTGCTGTTGTAGCTAAAACACTTTAAAGTCTCAAAAAGTGTACAAAAAGCAACATGGTTCTTTACACTGACTAGAAAAGGAAGCTGACAGACTTCAGTGATGAGACTGGCCTAATTACATTTATTTAATGCAGAACAAGAGAGTCCTGAATAGGGCATGTCATTTGAGGTGCTGAATATCTCTTATTACCAGTTTTTGCTTACTCAGTTTGCTGATTTATAGTGGCTTATTTGGAAAAAAGGGTTTCTCAGTGTTCCTTGCCCTCAAGCTAATTTGCAGTCTTCAATATGCAGTCTTCAAAATCATTGATTTTGGCAAATTTAAAGATATGAGTAATTTTCCTTGTTAAAAGTGCTCAGTAACCTTGTGAAGCACATTAACCAAAAAAGTTCATAAGAGTGGTGGGTGATGTTCTGGGTGTCAGGTTCCCCGGTGGTGTCCCCTTTAGAGGCTTCACAGCATGCAAATTGTCCATTTAAAGATAATTCTGAGAACTGTATTAAAAGGAGGGCTTGGGCCCCCTTGCAGCTCTAGCCCTGTATCAATAAGAGCTTCTGGTCTGTCTGACAAATAGGGTCAAGGAATTTCATATTCTACTGCTGAAGGAAGCCCTGTAGCCCAAAACTGGGATAACTGATGTTTGTAGACATGAGGTGACTGGCTCATTTTGACTCTAGGTTCTGGTACACTCAGCATGGATATCCAGTTCTGTCCCTAATAACAGGCAAAAAGAAATGTCTTCTATTAATGAGCATCTGTAAGTGCTTGCAATATGTGTGAAGGGGAAGGACCTTACACTGGCTGGGAGATTAGTCAGGTAAGCCTTTTAGCAAGAATTTCCATCTAATTTATTTAGATCCCTGGACGAGGAGACCCTGAGCTCTGGCCTTAGAGTCTGCCTAGATAAAAGTCTTGGGAAATAAAGACACAGTAGTAATTGTAAGTTTGTTTGAACTCTGACCTTTGTCCTTAAGCAAGCAATCTAGTAGGTCTCTTTCTAGGGCACAGAAGGCAGATATTATTCTTCCTCTCTTCTGGTAATGACTTTTTCATCATCTGCTGCTACTGACAGCTTGTGAAACCAGGCTTCACAGTTGGAAGCTGTTTTGCTTTTGTTGTGTGAAAATATGAAACAGTTATTAATATATAACTGAGGTGAGCTGTGTTATTAAGAACTTGATGGATTTTGATTTTTGAATGCTGCTTCTGCTAGTGAGAGCATAAACTCTGTAGTTTAAGATGACAGCAAAAGTTCACTATTATCCCTGGCAGCTCTCCGATAGCTATGCCCAAGGGTTTCACCCAACAAGGCAAGCAGTCACCATTCTGTAGCTTTCCCAGTTTTTCTGGGAAATCTGAGGTCAACTTTCAAGACAAACTGTGTCTAAAACTTCTAAAGACACTCAAGTTTACCAGAAGCTGTAATGCTCTATGGGGAAAAAAATTAATTCCTTGAGTTTTTAAAGGGGAAACGATACTGTTAGTATTTTAGCATCTCCAGAAATGTTGTTGTTTGTCTCTGATTGCCGTGTCTCCAATTAAGAAACAGGTTTTCATGACTAGATTTATATGGCCTGCTTTGTTAAATCCATCATTAGGCAGATCAACTAAGCTTAACAAAGGGGAAGGCAAACTCTTAAAGGAAAAGAACTCAGACCATTGAAAAATATTAAATCATTGCAGCTCAAACCTCAGTTGTATTGGGGGAGGATGAAACAGTATTTTTGTGAGTCTTTGAAAGAAGTAATCATGATTTTAAAAGCAGTCTTTGGATTAGAATTTCAATAAGATATATCACTGAGTATCCTGTAGCAGTATCTTGAAATGAATTGCCCAGACTCAGTAATAAAATGTTTGACTACTGATTTTTCCCTCCCTTAATTTCCACTGCCTTTTGAAAACAGTTCTATGATTTAACGGGAGAGAGAGGAAGCATGTTCTAAAAATAAGTATTGCGTGCAGTAAAAGTGACAGTAATGCCTTCTGCTTTTGTAAGCAGATCAAGATAATACTTTTCCTGCTTGTACCTTTGCTGTTTTCTGTCCACAGAGCAATCTAGAGGAAAATGGCTGCCTTTTTACTCTACTAGTCCAGGAGATAAACTACTGTATATTTAACAGAATTTGATAAAGCTTTCACTGTGTCACACTGTGGTTCACTATTGGCTGAAGTGCTCAGGTGTCTCATGTTACAGTTGTTTTAACTTGTAGTCTGAGTCATCTCTTGCGTGGCCAGTTGAAACGTTTAACTCTTTAAGAGTAATCTTAAAAATACTGGTAATCATGACACTAAATTTGTATCTAGTGTGATTTGAAGTTAGGTCAGCTAGGATGTAATGAAGTTTCTGGATGCTCTGAGGTATAAATGCACCGTGTGCTGTTCCCTGGGGAATTGCCATACTTGTTTCAGAAGAAGAGTTCGGAGAATTTTCCATAGCAATCCTGGACTGCATTGTTTCCTATGAACAGCAGATTGCAGAACTTCTTCCATTTTTAGTCTAAGGGAACATTATAGGTTAGTGATAATTTGTCACAGAATTTTAAGGGAGGGAAGGAATTTGGAAGAAAATTTTAGGAGGCTTATATTTTATGTGTGAAAAGGTCATGCAACATGGATACAGATTAATTACTAAGTGTTGGCTTCCCACATTACTTAAAAATGCTGATTTTAAAATTTAAAGAAAAAAAAAGGTAGTTTCATGCTGTGTTTTATAATGAAAGAAAACAGTAAACTTTTTTTAGATCAGCAAATAAAATCTTTGATTTCATCTCTCAAAATAGCAACTGATTGTAAATTGCCTGAGAGAGATGTTGATACCAGTAAGGTAAGGAGTGTGATTTTTTTAATTTGGTTTTGCACTTTTGAGTTTGAATTCACCATGAGGAAATAGAGAAAAATAATGAAATCTTTATGGAACAAATCCTTCAAAGACCTTAAACTCCAACAGTGACAGAGGCAGGGATCCCTTTTTTCAAAATCATGTCTTTGCTCAATGAAAATTCAGTAGAATCTCCATATTCCTTCAGTTTTAATGTTGTGTCAATAACAAGAGGAATTAAATGTAATATGTTCTTCAATATGATGATTTTCTAATCTATATTGATATAAAACAAGATTTAAGTATTTGGAAAAAATTGACACTTTCCATGGTAGTGCACTTAAAAAGCTAGAGAACACAAGATGTACCAAAAAGCTTGCTACTTAGGTGACTTAATGAAGCAAGCAAATGACAATTCCATAGAGGAAAGAAAATGCCATATAGCAGTTGAGGTTTGTCTGTCTGCATTGTGAACACTGCTGAACTTACAGGTGGGACTCATGTATTTAATTTATTCTTACTTGTTGTGCACTTTAAATATCAATGATTGCCTCCCCTTGTTTGAAATTCTGCTTTCTTGTCAATCCTAAATACCTGACAGTATTCTGAGTTGTGTGCTCTTTTCCCTAGTTCAGCATCTCTCTTTGTGAAACCTACGTGGCGTGAATGCCATATTCAAAGAGGGTGGAATCTCCTTGAATAAAGGAGAAGATGGAGGTGCCAACAGTCTGCAGTAAAGATAATGGTACTCATAACTTTTGCATCTCTTTACCAGTCTTCTTTCTCTTTGAAAAAAGTTTTATTCCTTGGTCTCTGTAACTCTTCTTCCATTGAGTCATGAGAGAGATGAATGTGACTGAAGCATTACTACTTAATAATTGGAATGATTCTTGGTGTTTAATGGTGGTATGCAGTTAACTTAAGAGAACATCAGAATAGAATATCTGGCATTTGTTTATGGCTTATAAAGTCAAGAGTTTTTTGTTGTTTTACCTCTTCTCAGTAGGAGGTACGAGCTTGAACCCAGACTGATACATGTGAGATTCCCTGTGTGTTTTTCACACAGGTCAGTTGTAACTTGTTAGTATTGACCTAACCCTGCTGGTTAATAACACAGTAAAATAACTCTTATGCAACAGAGTTGATTGCAGGGAAAAAGCAAAGCAGAGAGAAAATGTTTGTGCATTTTGGAGGTATAAATTAAGGAAAGGTGCTTTTTGAAGGCCTGGGTCACTGTTTGGCTTTGGTTGGTCTTCTCTTTGT